AGATAATTATTTTTAATAAACGTAAATAAATCTTAACTATTAAAAATAAAAAGATGAATAATTAAAATTTTATATAAGTGTAGTGTATAAAATTTATATATAAGTGGATCATTATTGTATATATATATTGTATGAGCTTTGTTGGATTTATAAATGGACAAAGAATCATCTATGTTGTTGCTATTCCTAATCCTAATTAATCAAACAAACTCTTGACTAGTTATCAACTAATTAAACTTTTGCAAGTGGCCCTCTATCAAGTCAAAAGCCCTTCTTCAAATTCAAATTACTTTTTGATCTTTTATATTTTTTTAAGTAATGGAGAATCAAACTATCAGAATTTACCCAATCTGATGATTAGTTGACTGTACAAAACATTTTTGTTGAGAGTTAACCATGCAAGGGTGAGTTGGTAATTAAGAATAATAATAATAAAAAATTGGTAAAAAAAACAAAAAAAGCTAAGTCTAATACTCCGTTCATTTTTAGTAATTTTAGTTTAATTTTTTGATTTTTTAAACGTGAATTATATATAAAAATTTAACATATTATATAAAGGAAAAGGTATGTATCAGTCTTGATTTTCAAAATAAATTAGAGTTCTAATATTAAATACATCCTTTTATTTAACCAAAACTTAATTCAAAATTTAAAAATTTATCCTATTAAATGTTGATAATCGGATTCATAAACTAATTATATTAGAATATATAATTGATTTTCAAATTTTAGTATTAACATTTAACATGGTGAATTTCTTAATTTTAAATTAAAATTTTGATTTCTAAATATAAGTAGGGATTTTAATTTTTTTTAGAATTGATATGCATTAACCTTTTATATAAGGACTATGATTGGTGCACACCCGGATTCCCGGGTGTGCACACTCCACATAAAAATAAAAAATGGACCGGGTATTCTCCATTTTTTTTTATGCGGAGTGTGCACACCCAGATGTTGAATCCGGGTGTGTACACATTATTTTCCTTTATATAAATAATAATTAAAAAAAATTTTGATTAAAAAAATACTTAATAAGAAATACAGATAAAAAACTTTTTAATTATTATTTATATAAATTATTCAATCTTTATTTAAAATTTTTATATTAAAAATTAAAAACACAAATAACAACTTTTAAAAATAAATAGAAAAAGTAATATATTTGAATTAGGAAGAAAGGCGTAGAAGATAGAAGAGGTAAAAAAAATTCTTTATTTTGTTTAAAAGAAGTTGGAGGAAAGAGAAGTGATTTATATTATTTTTAAAAAAAAAATTTTATTTATTCTTGAGAGAAGAAGAGAGGGAAACATGCCCTTCCATTTCGACAAAAGCCCTTGGTTTGCCCTTTAACTTTTCGAGTTTGAGGCATTTTACCCCCATATTACATTTATGGCTTTTTACCCTTCATGTCTTCGAGTTTGGGAAAATGAGGCAAAATTTAACGCAAGGGGTCGTGTGTAGCACGTGCACTATTGGCCTTCGTTATATAAGAGAAATGATTTTTGTACAACTTTTTTGTCCCACCTTTGTTACAACCTGACGTGTCATTTAAATAATTGGTTCTTTTAATTCATGTGGAACTCGTGATATTAAATGTGTCCACTCATTTAATAACATGTGGAAGTTGTATAAAAAGGTGGTATAAAAAAGTTGTCTCTATAGCACCACCCTCGTCATATATGTACATGTTAGCGCCAACTCAGACCTTTTTTTGACGAGTTAGCAAGTACAGCTTGTTTGGACCCCTCATGAGCGGGAATTCTACCGCTACTAATTTTATTTGTGGGCTCCATCGTTGACTAAAGGTTTGAAAAAAAAAAAAGGACACATGACTGCAAACAAATCTATTTAAATGATCCCTAGGGCACAAAGAGTTTTCAGTTTTCTTCTCTTCTCTGATCTATCACATTCACACCCATTTCATTTACTTGTTCAATGGATAGTTCCAGCAACTCTCATACTTTTAACACCGATGGAATTTGGAAGACACGAGTATGATTATGAGGGGGCGAAGTTGGTTTTGCTTTTGTGGTTTGAAAGCTTCGAGGATCATGTTTTGGAGTGAAAAGAATCCTAGTCAGAGGTTTTTTGGATGCCCAATCTATGATCCCATAGTAATTTCTTCCCTAATGTTTGATTTTAAATTAGTGTGTTGTTTAGGGGTTTTTTTTTTTGTTAAGATATTTTGAAGGTATTGTGTGGTAGTGTTTAGGGTTTTGCTTGGCATAGAGATTGGATTTTGATTAATTGTTAATAAAATGTGATTTTTGACATTTGCAAAACAAAAGGCAACAGTGTAAGTATTTTGTGTGGTATGATCGAGATTTCTCTTTTAGGGCTAAAGAGGTTATCATGTGGCTATACAATAATAAGACAACATTGGAACTGATTTGGATGATGCAAGGGATCAAAGCTCTTAGGAATGTTTTGAAGTGTTATGAAGAAAAAGGAGAGCAATAGATTGAGGCATTGGAGAAGAAAGTTAATGATTTGTAGATGTTGGTGACACTAAAAATGGTGTATGTTGCAATGCTAGAGAAATGGAAGAAATGCAGCCAAATTTCTTCGGTAGTGGTTGTTTTCCTTGCTATTCTACTTGCTTTTTCTTGTTTAAGAGTTGGGTTTTACCTGTTAATGGAACAAGGGTTTCAAAAGGCTAGGAAATTAAGCAATTAGGCAAATGGGGAGAGTTTTGTTTTTTTGGGCATTATCTGTTTTTTGGTGGGTAATGTGGTTGTATTCAATGGTAGTGTTGAAGGTTTGTAGATACTGCTCCCAATAATTCTAGTAGGGGCCTCATTTCTTCCCAAGCTTTGTAATTTATTTTGGATGTAATGAATGGTAATTGACTTCTCTAGAATTGTTATCTCATTTTTTTGAATATTGATCAAATGGAAATAGCAATTTATTCTATTAATGTTAACAACCATAGGTACATAAATAAGGAAATATCACTTAGCATTAATTGATAATATAAGCCAAAAAGATTACATTTAGACAATTATCTTGTTACGATTGTACAAAAGCTGGCAAGAGAAAAAGACATCCACCATTTTCCTAGAATTTCATCACATACTCCAAAAATTCAAAATAAAAAATTCTTACATATTCTTGCCAAATACAAATCCTACCAACGTAGATACAAGACCATTTGATTCACTTTGTTTCCATATCATTTGCTGCATTTATATATTACCTACAAAAAACACTTTCTGCAACCCTAAACCCAAGTCCTTTACTCCCATGCAGCAAACCAAAAAAAAAAAAAAAAAAAGAGAACCATTCATCAAGCTTCACTTGATCCCTTCTTCTTGGTTGATTTTCGAGGTGGCTGTGCCTTATGAAATTGGCTAAGATGGGTATGTCTCATAGTAATCTCATCTTGCAAACCTTGTTACAAAAATTAATAATAATTATCAGAAAATAAATTATCAACATAATTCACACTCTTAGTTGAATGTTAAACTTAAACTCATAGGGTTCAATTCTGGTGAATTAATGTATTCACCAAATCTGTGCTTCTTCTTTCTTCATAGCCCATCAAATTGACCAAATTGCATAATAAAAAAACAGCAACAAGAATAAACACGTATAATTAGCAATAGAGCACTATCAATAGGAAATCATAGATCCTAAGCAATTACCACTCAATAAACTTACATTTTCATCAACAAAATATTTAGCAGCACATGTTGTCCTGGTGTGACTAGGCTATTTACAATATTCGCAAGTTGGAGGTTTTCTTGGTATTGGCTGGCGAATGCTTGTTGATGCTCCCTATTGAGTATGAAAAGAAAATGTCATAATAGTATAATTTGTTGATGATAAAGTAGGTAAAAATAATTAACTTCACTTTTAGTTGGCATTTTGGTGTATCCCTTTTTATCGTGTCCAGGCTACTTACAAAGTGAGCATGTGATTTGTTCACCTTCCTTTGTCATCTTTTCTAGCTGTCCCACCTTCACCTTTCTAGTTTCATTATTGCTCTTCATCCTATTCACCTTAGGCCTACTCTACTTAGATCTAAATGGAAGTGGTTCTAGTGGCTCCTCTTGATAATTTTCCCATAATTTCTCACCATTACAAGGCATGATTGGTACATTGTATGCATGTTCATACTTAACCCTTTTGTACCAAATTGAAACAAATTCATCCGAGTTGAAGTTACCTAAACCTATTGCAGACAATGCATGAGGACATGGAATTCCTGTTAAATCCCATACTCTACAACTACACTTTTTCCCAACCAAGTCCACAACAAATTTATCATTCCAATGCCAAACATGATAATGGGTCCTACCATTCCATTAACATCTACATTTGGCTGCTTCAATCTGATGTGCTTCTAATTTCTTCCTAATTCTGAGTGATATATCTTCTCTCCATTTGCCAACTTCTTCTCTAGTCTTGGCCATCCTAACCATCACCTTAACCCTTATACATTCTAACAGTTGGATGATTAGCATATACCTGGCATCTATTATCTAATTGTTGAAGGTCTCATTCATATTATTATCCACCACATCACATTTTCACGATGTGTCAAAGACGGCCTTGCACCACAGCTCTAGTGGGATTGATTTTAAGGCATCATGACCTTCCATAGTTAAATTTTCGATCTCCTCCATGTTTTTGTTGAATTGACCTTCATATGTTGAGCTTGCAGCAATTTAGAATCTTTTCTTCAATAGTTTTCCTCTAAAATTTTTTTGCCAATTGGCATATAAATGCCTGGCACACAATCTATGCCTAGCCTCAGGGAAAACTATTTGTCTTGCATTAATCAAATCCTACCAAATTGTGTTTAATGAAAACAAATAAGGCTAATGACTAATATTAAAGTCAATTGAATTATACAATAAAATTATACAATAAGTAGCATTGATGACTATAGTAACATAAACATAAAAATTTTTGTAAATTAATTCATAATAAATTGTGCACACTTACAAGATGTTGGTCCGAAATGAAGGTTAAGTCTCGCCTACTGTGATTTGATGGATCATCAGCTAGGCATCTAAAAAAAAAGGTTCATGAGCTAGAATACTCTGAGTCAACAACAGCCCAAGCAATTGGGAACATTTGATTGTTCCCAACTCTTGCAACAGTTGCCAAAAGAGTTCCTTTAAACATCCCCTTAAAGAAACAGGCATCTACTCCAATTATTGGTCTACAACCCAGTACAAAACCCTTCCTACATCCTTCAAGGCTCATATAAATTCCTTTAAACATAGGTTTTCCCTCTGGAGTTATGGGTGGCTCAGTATCAATTTAAACATTTAACTTAGGGGACAATCTTAATAGCTTTTCTGCATACGCTCTTAATTGAGCAAATTTCTTCATGTGAGTTTCCTTCACCTCCTTCATAATCTTTTCCTTTGCTAGTTTACACTTATTCCTTGAAACATGAACTCTTAATTCTAAATGAGAGAGTCTCACTAACTCACTGATTTTGATCTATGGATTTGCAAAAATTTTGCTCTTATGGTGTTCTGCAAGTACCCTCGACCCAACCATGTCGGACTTCAAACTCCTAAAGCACGTGTGTTCCCTATAATATGTCTTTACCTTAAAAGTTTTGTCCTTTTTCTCAAAACTGGCAAAGATTTGCCAATTGCATTGTCGATCAACACAGTGAATTCTTTACCTAGTAGGGTCACTTTTAATAGGCTTCAACCTATAACCTTTTTGAATTTGGTACTTAGCTATAGCCTCTTTAAACTGTGCAACATGCTCAAACTTTATCCCTATCTCAAACCAAACATCAGTCCATGAAGGATTAAACCATAAATCACCACTTTTAGTAGTTCTTACATCTTCTTCTTCTTCTTCTTCTTTAGGTTCATCTTCATCCACAACATTGTACTCACCTGAATCATCGCTAGAAACCTCAAATTCATCTTCACTATTTTCAAAGCTAGAATCATAAGCCAAATCTCCATGGCCATCAGTTCCTATAGGGACCCTTTCACCATCTTCATTAATTGTGGTAGGGGTCTCATGGATTGTGTCACTTGGTCCAGCACCATCTGCATTTTTTTTTTTTTACACTGGCTTTATGTTTCTTTTTATTACAAATAGATTCAAGCACCTCCTTATCATCTACATCACTATGCACAATATCAAGCAAGTCCTCATCATCATGAGCGTTCTTCTTGATCTTGTTATTCGATTGCATCACCTTCATGCACTGCATCTATTTCATCAGCATCACATTCAGCTGCTGTTTCTGGAGTTTCATGAAAATTTCGGGCTGAGTGTGAATTTTGTGTCACACAGCCTTCCCCACAATCCTCATCATCTACATCACTATGCATAATATTAGGCAATTCCTCATCATCATGATCATTCTTCTCTGGATCTTGTTGTTGGGATGCATCACCTCCATGCATTACATCTGTTTCATCACCCTCACTTTCAACTGTTTCTAGAGCTTCAGTACAATTTGGGGTTGGTTGTGAATTTTGTGTCACATAGCCTTCCCCAATGTCCATTGTACCTTCATCAATTGCTTCATGTAGAATAGTGCCACCCTCAAGCAAAGCTAAAATGTTTGGCTCATCACACACATGCTCAATGTACACATTTATAATTCCTCTTTCAGTTAAAAGGTATCGCATGTGGATAAGCTTCTGTTTACTATTTATAACTTTTAACGCTTCACCAAATTTTTCCATATAAGGATCTTTGTAATAGATGTCCTTAAAATGCATATATCCAAGGCTTTTTACCCTCTCCTTTAAATACAACAAAGTTATACGATGATATTCAATGTCCACATCATGTACTTCACCTATAACATACCTAAGTTCCTCATTACGGCTCATGCAATAAGTGCCATTATGGTGAATTCTTAATGTTCCCATTGCTGTCATATGGGAAGAAAAAGATATAAATTAATATAAATTAACACACATTTAAGCATTAAATCTATAAATCAAGTTATTAATTACAAATTTATAGATTTAAAAATAACTAATTTATAGTAATAGCATAAACTCTAAACTAAAAACTCATACTATACTTGTACGATCATGATTGAAATTGACTTCAACACTAACAAAAAAAGCAAAAGAAAACAAAAAAGTATAACTTTTCAGTTTGATTATTCAGTAAATTACATGAACCCTAAAAATACCCTTAATTATCAAACACGGCTTAAATTTATTTTAATCCTTAATAAACCCTAAACCCTAATTAAATATCACTTCCAATACAAATCTATGACCCCTATCCTAAATATCAGTAAAAGTTAAACAAGATTTTATTAGAATAAAGGAACAATACCTGTCAATGGCACCAAGAATAATGTTAGAATCGTTTGTGCTTTGTGGTCCTTTTCGAATGTTCTATTCCTTCAATCCCAATCTAGATTCGTTCGGTTGGTGGGCAGAGTAAAGTTGTTTCCTTTTGTGGTCCTTTTTTGGGTTGTGGACTTGTGGGTTTAATCAAGAAGCTTTTCTTTGTTCTCGATCAAAATGCTTGGAGTCGGACAGTTCATTTGCATTCATCTGTCTTTTTTCTTCTTTTTTTTTTTTCAAACCTTTAGTTAATGATGAGGCCCACAAGTAAAATTGGTAGCAATAGAATTCCCGCTCACGAGGGGTCCAAGCTGGACTTACCAACTTGTCAAAAAATATCTGAGTTGGCGCTGACATGTACCTATATAATGGAGGTCAACGATGCACATATTGCATGTGACCTCTAACGTTAAATTTTGCCTCATTTTCCCAAACTCGAAAACATGGAGGGTAAAAACCCATATATTGTAATATGAGAGTTAAAATGCCTCAAACTCGAAAAGTTGAAGGGCAAACAAGAGGCTTTTGCCCTTCCATTTCCATGTTCTCTTCAAAAAAAATTTTTTTCCAAATTAAATATATTATAAGATTATGAGGAGGAAAAAATGGTCTATATTTTCATATCCACGTGTCAAGGAGGAAGAGGCAGGCACAGAATCTTTTAAATCACCCGCAAGTGAGGGTATTAATACTCCTAACTAAACAACATCCTTCCCGTCGTCCATGTATAAGTAACGCGGCCACCTATTTCCGCCGTGGCCGTGACCGTGAACGCTCGAACCCTCTCCGTTAACCACAAGGTTTATCCAGGGTTTAAACAATCCTAATCTTCAATTTCAACATTTCCAAATCCTAATCCAAACAAAACCCTAAACCATCTTCAAAATCCGAATTGTTCTTGTTATTCTTTATGATTTTTTCCTCCGTCTAGGGTTTTCAATTTCTTTCTAAGATCAGTTCGTTACTCAGGAGTTCGGGTTTTCATTCTTCGTTAAATCCGCTAGTCAATTGATTTACCTGGTAAGAATCCTTGTTTGTTCAACTGCATTGTATGGCTTTTTTTTCTAATTATTGCATTTCGAATTCGGTTTTGGTATTGGAAATTTGAATTCTAGGGTTTGCTGTTAATGTTACTATGTTTCATGTTGAGAGAGTAGAGGAAACAGAGAAGGAAGAATGCATTCAAGTTTTTTTTTTTTTTTTCTTTTTTGGGATGATGATAAACCTTTTGGAACAAGAATTGTTAAAAACCGATTCAAGATGATCCAAGTGGTAGTCTTCTTTAGAGCTCTTATGTTGTTTTTATTTGCTAAGATAGAGTTTTGAGTGGCTATTCACTTTTAAAAATTCAGAAAGCGAATTACTTGTAATGTGAAAGCTTGAGTTTGTTTTAGCAGATGGAAAGCCTAAATTTAAAATCTTGTTATTTTTTTGCTTGTCTGTTTCCCTTCTCAGAAGCAAAGGGTTTACTGATGTACCATTAATTTCAATGGGACGATGGTGTTATTGGGTTTTCAACTTGAGGTATAAGTGATGTGAATATTGAATATGAGCGATGGAGGTGGGAAGAATGGGAAAAAGCACGACCAACCACAGACTAAGAGGAAATTTGGTGGAAATGACTTTGCCCTTGCCATTTCAAAGATTGCAGTAGCACAAATATGTGAAAATGTGGGATTTCAGACTTTTCAGCTGTCTGCTCTGGAAGCACTGTCTGATGTTGCTGTGTGTTACATACTCAATATAGGAAAATCTGCACATTTCCATGCAAATATAGCAGGTAGAACAGAGGTTAATTCTTTTGACATTATTCAAGGGTTGGAAGAGTTGGGATCTGGTTTGGGATTTGCTTGTTCTTCTGATGTTGATCACTGTCTAGCCAATTCAGGCATTGTTCGGGAAATTATCCAGTATGTTGCTGATTCTGAAGATATCCCATTTGCTTATTCTCTTCCTAATTTCCCAGTTGTCCAAGACTGTAAACCAGCCCCAAGTTTTCTACAAACAGGAGAAGAGCCTCCTGGTGAGCATATCCCGGCTTGGCTGCCTTCCTACGCTGATCCTGAGACCTATGTTCAGTTGTCTACAGGAAATGAGAAAACAACTGTTTCTTACTCAGAGAGGATTGAACCAGCTAAGCAACTGACAAAGACAGATAGGTTTTTGTTGAATTTGCAGCAACGTTTTGCTTGCAATGGATCTGAAGGCCCTTCTTCAGTTGATGGTGGAGATGCTGTTAAAGCAAGGAAAGCAGCAGAGTGCAATCCTTATCTTGCTGCACCTCTGCATTTTGGGGAAAAGGAAGTGTCTTCTGTTGTTCTTCCTGGTAAACTTTCAAATGAAGGAATTGTGACAAATCATGTCATGGAAAATCGTGTTGTGAGAAATCATGTTTCAGTGCTGGAGACATTTGCGCCAGCAATTAAAGCAATGAAGAGTGGGAATTGTGAATCTGAGGATGGGCAGAATAAAGCACTTCTTAATCAGAGGCCTAGTGTGCATTTTAAGATTGGCATTGGAAAGAAGTCCTGAGGTGCAGCACTAGATTTGAACTCACAGAGCAAGGGCAGTGAGAAAATTTCTCCTTGGTTTGGTAATGATAATGAGAAGGATAACAAGAAAAGGAGGGCAGAATATATTCTGAAAGTGTCTATAGAGAATCTAGAGGAATTCACTCAGTTGTAAAATAGGTTTGTTCGATTGTCATTTGTATACTTTCTAGGAAACTGGCAGCAGATGTGGGCTGCAGGATAGTCAGGGTCAGGAAGGTAGTCTTCTCTCTATATGCCCCCACTTAGAGTGGATACTGGAAATGCCAGGTAACACAGGGAAGTGTCATGTTAAATAGATTCTTTGAGGTATGTGTATGTCATTGCCTTGATAGTACCTGTTCGGTGGCTATTCTTTTTAAATGAAATTCTTGTTTCCCATTTTGTGATAAGCTCATGAATGCTATGGATTTCTCTACCTTGGGTACAATCTGGTCTTATCTCTAGATGTGTATGCTAGGCTCATTTATTGAAGCTTCATACCATACTGTATTATTATTCAATTTACAAATGAATGCAGAATTGCAGATTGATTTTGCATTTATGTGCATTCTTCATTCTGTTATGAGACTAAAGTTGGAGTTGAGATTGATTATGCATAGTCTTTTCTCTAAAAGTTTCTGTAACGGTCTTGATCTTTCATTCATTTGTTTTCCTATGCTCCTTGATAAGAATTTTCAAATTTAGATAGCTGTTACTTCGATAGTCAGATTTAAGGGTGTCTACACGAGATCTTTAATTAGCTTTAAAACATGGAGGACCTTCTCAATATGATCCATTGCCAGTTGCCTCTACAGTACTGGTCTAATTAGCTTTTGTGGTTGACAAAATTTCTTTCTTGATATTTTGTGGTTCGGTAGCGTAGAAAACGGGTGAAGTCTATCTTTTAATTAAAGCTTGATATTATGGATAGCCTTGTAGAATTCGACATTAGGCAAACATGAAAAGGAAAGGGAGGGGAGTACCTTGTCGTTATCCATTTTTCCCCAAAATGTACGTGTTGGATATTTATTTGTTTTTTACTACGAATGTTTTGCCTTCCGTGTTTAAATTTTCTTCTCAAACCACAAATTGGTTTTAACTTATCCTTTAATCTAGCTTACAAATACATCCATGCTGGAATAAAGGTAGGTCGAGGG